AGGCAGAGCCAGGCAGATCTCTGTGAGTTCGAGGCCAGCCTGGGCTACCAAGTGAGCTCCAGGAAAGGCGCAAAGCTACACAGAGAAACCCTGTCACGAAAAACCAAAAAGAAAAAAAAAAAAAAAGAATGCTGGAATAATTTACCTAGACTACATTCTTCCACATTTAATGTAAATGCAGATCTCAAGTTATTTGTTACTCAAATTATGCTCTGAAAGAGGGAGAAAGGGATGAGGTCATCTAGAATCCAGGTTTTTAAACTGTTGGTTGTGAGTCCATATGGGTCCCATAACTGAATATGGGGGAAAGGAATATTACATACATAAAAAACTGATCATAGTAAATGTTTTTGAATGTGCAATGTCCAAAAACTAATTCAAAATAAAAAATTATGTCTAAAACTGAGGTGTCTCTGGCATAAGTCCATGCTGCATAGCAGTGACTCCACTGCAGCCTGGGTTCTGAAATACAACGTGCACTTTGTACTGTGCATGCTGTAGTAACATACAGCAAAAACACTACCTGGAACACCCTTGTTCAGACTCAAAGCCAGTTAAGTCATGAACTGCACTGTTTACTGTACCTACAAGGTTTTCTGCTTTTGTAGGAACATAATGGCTTAACTATAGAAAAGTGACATTCAGTATTTTCCTGCCATCATTCCTCAGCAAGTAAACATCAAATTAGTCTTTATGCTGTTATTTTTTTTAAATGTCTGATTTTAAAGACTTCTATCTGAATTATTGACATGATTCATTTTAAAGTGTTGAATGAATTTATGATTAAGACAGAATTTCCAACATTTTCTAGAAGTGCCCTAGACATACTTGTCATTTTGTACCATATATTTATGCAAAGCAGCATTCTCATCATTAACTATAAAATCAAAACTCTGAAAAATGTTGAGCTGTTCTGTCCTGCAATATCAAATATTAAACTCAAGATTTAATTCTTTATATAAAAATAAGCATATCCATCTAGTAAACATGCAAAATTGCTTTTGTTTTAACAAATGATAAGATTATATGAATATTGATAATTTCAAAATGAACTGTTATTTATAAGCAGTACATTTGCTTAGCATACCTATTTTCAATACTTTCAATATACCCCGGGTTGCATAAAAATTTCTTGGCCCAAGCCAGACAATGGCACATGCCTTTAATCCTAGCACTCAGGAGGCAGAGGCAAGGGGATCTCTTTGAGTTCAAGGCCAACCTGGGCTACAGAGTGAGTTCCAGGAAAGACACAAAGCTACACAGAGAAACCTAGTCTTTTAAAAAAAAAAAATTCTTGGGCCAAAAGGAATCCCAAGTAGAACAAGTTTTACTTTCCCTGACCTAGAAATTACAAATACCTATAGTTTAAAGTATGTAACTGTAGTCCATTAATGTCTCATAGAAGTAAACAGTTCAGAATCGCCTTGAGAAATTCAAGGAGCAAGATTTTCAATTCTGAAGAAAAAGAATGGTCAGGACTTTGTTAAAATATACTATTGAATTTTTACTGTGTTAAAGAAGAAATTCCAGGAAATAGAAAAGGCTGCAATAACAATGTAAGGGAAACCAAGGGGGATGGGAGATGAACTGGCAGTGACCAAAAAAGCAACAGGGGAAATAATTTCCACGGTACTAAGGGGTACAAGTTGAGGACAATAGTTGCAACTATTATTTATCAGTCACAGAATAGATATAAATACATATACACGTTCTTTAAATAGACAAACACTTTCATTTCTTTACTCCATGTGAAAAAAAGAGAATACGAAGGCGAGTATCAACTGTCCAGTTTTTCTTCCAATATGGTTCATATTCCATATCTATAATCTATTTAAGGCTATCCCAATAGTGATGACAAGAGAAGGCAGGGAAATGGAATTCCTTTAGAAATCACAGGAGCTCTAAATTCAAAGATTTAAAGATCAAAGCTTGGTGTGTGGTATGTATGAGTAAGATTCACTCAGTGGTTAACACTGGGTGATCTTCCAGAGAACCAGAATTCTCAGCATCCACATAGTGGCTCACAAATGTCTCTAATTTCAGTTCCAGATCTGATGCCCTAATGTCCTTTTCCAGCCTCTGCAGCAACCAGGCATGCACATGGTGCAAAGTTGTACATTTGTGCAAAGCACCCATACACATTAAAAAAAAAAAATAGTGGAGTTCCTTGCACTGCTTTTCAAACTTCATTTGTATACAGAGCACCTGGAGACCTTGTAAACCACACATTCTGCTTCAGTAGACCACTATGAGGCACCTATGCAAAGTTAATGCTGTTGGCCTTGAGAATGCAGAAAGCACACTTTGAATAGAGAACCTAGTTGGAAGCTAACCCTTCAAAGTTCATTTTCAAAGTCACGGATGTTCATAAAAATTTCCTGTGAAGTTGGGAGGTGCTCTGATCCCAGCACTCAGAAGGCAGAGGCAGGCAGATCTCTGGGATCTGAGTTAGACACCAGCCTGATCTTCAGAGTGAGGACAGCCAGGGGACAGAAGAACCCTTCCTGAGGGAGAAAGGGGTTCCTGTGAAATTTGGTTAAACTACCAAACCATCAGAAATAACAAATTGGGACAAACTAAAATTGGATACATGGTAATTTTTTTTTTGCTCAGACCAGGGTCTCACTGTGTTACCCTGGCCCTTTAAATCCTGGGCTCCAGTGATCCTCTTCAGCCTTTACAGTAGCTGGGAATACAGTGCCCAGCTTATGTAAATCTGTTTTACTTCTAACATTATATAAAAATCTTGAGTAAGGATACCTCTTTTCTACTAAATATAAACTCATTTTACAGGAAATGGATAGCCCTGTGGTACCATTTATCTGCCTGCTACAAGCACACTTTGCTATCTCCATCAAATGTATCTAAGACAAAAGGAGATGATAACCACTGCCCTGGCTACTAGCTGTCGTTCATAAAAAAGTAAATAGTCCAGAGCAATGTTTTCCCTTTTCTGGTGTCCAAGTCAATGGCTGGCACCTAAATTCTATTTTTCATCCTTACTGGTTCATTATTCAGCTGGGGAGAGGGAAGTAGTGAGTGATTAACTGGGGGGGGGGGGGCGCAAGTTATCAATCCTCAACCAGGAAGCATTTTATGATATTAGTGAAAGCCTGTTTTCTAAGTACTGAATTTAAAAATGTTCCCTTTATATTAAGATATCCACATGAGCTTACTTTAGCATTATTTCATTATTATACTTTGGGAGTGTTGCCCACGAACATATTCTCACCCTTTATTTCTAGATCGTGTTGAAGTCGCCCAAGAATCCTGGGAATCAATGTACAGTATTATTACTACTTGGAAAATCCAGATGTGACTACTTAGCTTTCACTGATAACCAAAAGGACAAGTTATCAGCCACCCGAGGCACAATAATACAATGCTGTATAGCATTTACTAAAGATACAACTGTTTAAAAAAACAAAGCTTTCCTGTAAAGTGAACTCTGCTAGTCAAACACTAAAGAATCAATATAAAACTGGCTACAACAGGAGCAGAGAGTGTTATAGGTTTTCCACAGGACAGGCCCTCCAAACACTAAAACAAAATCCTGGCCTTTCCTTTCCCAGTGTATAATCTGTTACTTTGAAATGTTTGTCCAGTCTTAGAAGTTGTAAACCTGTGAAGGGAACAAAAATATTCCTTCCAAACCCTTTGTGGCTTATAGGCTACTTCCACCAAATCAGAGAATTGCATTTACCTCAAACCTCAGGATTGAAGCCAAACTGTGGTCTATCGACTACAAGATGCCAACTTTTCAGTAGACTAAAGACAACACAAAAATAAAGACAAAAAGAAAAGAAAAAAACAAAACAAGATGGGTCTGGATATATAATCACAGACTCTGAGACTTAACGGATAGGAAATGTCTTATCCTGATCAGGCAGGGCCACACTTAAAATTAACGGAGATGCCCCTTGTGGCCCAAAACTATTTTCTGTCTTTTGAGTTACTGTTGGTTATGTTGAAGGATGAATTTTAAAAGCCTGAACGTCGGGGACACTCAAAGGTGAGAGGTCAAGTCTGTCCCTATACTCAACAGATTCAAACCCGACTTCCGGTT